ATTGCTTAGTAGTGAGAAGTTCATACTGACTGTACTCAACAGCTTTAGATGGTTAGCTATTTGACGTATGTACGCCCAGTTGACTAACCAATATATTTCTTTCAAAAGTAATTCCAGATCAGTTCATCTAGGTCGTAAAGCTAAATCTCTTCAATTTTCTTAAGTTTTGAGGAAGCAGTTGTGACAATGAGACAAGCATAAACCAAGCAGTTCTGTTGTGTAGGCTATTTTTATGGGGGCATTTGTTCATATACTGTTCATTTGTTTATCTGTTCATATACTTGTTCATATACAAGTATTTTATGACGGTTAATTAAACAGGTGTTCTTCTCTGCCGCGCCTCAAAATTTACGATGATTTTAAAATTACGTCAATGCAGTTTTTAAAACATGAAAAATTTACGATTTATGTAGATTTGCATTATTGGAGAAGTAACACTTGCTTCAAGCAAAGAGTTTCTTTCTTACACAAAACAATCAAGTAAAGAATTTGATTTCAACAGCTCCCTAACTGCCGTTGTTATGACAACAATGACATTTGAACATAACGGATATTTTGGGAATTGAAGTAATTACATTTGAAAGAAAATGCTTTTTCTTAGTATATTAAATTATTTCGATGACTGAGAACAAAATCTGAAGACTCGAAAATTATTTTATTAATGAAAATCACGGTTACGCAATTTCGAAAATTTTGAGTTAACAGATATTCTTGATACAGTAATCATCAAAAGAATTTAATTTGTAACAAAAGCACTTTATGTAAGCAGTTAAAATATTTAAAGCCATAATGGTCGGCATGATCAAATGACATTGTTGCCATAATGATGGCAAATACAAAACTCTTGTGAAAAAATTCAAACTCATAATAGGTCTTCTAAAGGACGTTGTCTTTTTTAATTAAGTAATGTTCTTTCATCAAGTGATAATTTTGTACTAAAATACGAATATAAGTGGTAAATTAGCAGTATTTTCACAATAAGTCCTTCCATTTGTTTTACACTTGGGAAAATTTCTTATAACACAGATAATTTAATAATAATCCCTCCATTCAGCAGAAAGGCTGTGCAGAGTAAATTAATAGCGTCATTCCCTGTAACAGTATTACATTTCGGAAATGACATCCATGAATCACAATTTAAAAGCTCTATACACATCCTTTCCGTTGTTGAATGGAAGATCACTATTTCGCAAAAAATATCAAAAGCAACTTGGAATTGATCCTCACTCCTTGTTTACTCAGAGTTTGCACGTGTCTTGCCCATGAGGGTGCCTAAATCCAACGTTAAATTAAACCTTTTAATTCCTACTTAATTTGTTCTTCTTAGAGAACCAACAAAATGAGTCGACTTGCAAGCAAGTAGTCAAACCTAAATCTGCACTATGTGCAGTTATCCAATGAGAGAAAGGAAGAATTTTATTAAACACAATATGTGCATGATGACTATTTTTAGAATTAAATTGCTTTAAACCAAAATATCCGCGATATTGAATGATTATTTTTGCCGTAGCAACGACGGGAGGTAACCTTTGAGAAAAAGTAAATTTCTTTACTGTTGTTTATCTAAAAAAAGAAAATACTCTTCATTTCCAAACAATTACTAATTGTCTATTAAAATGCTTAAATTCTTCACTTTTTTAAGAACTGTATCGAGGTAGCATAATTTACGTCATTGGAACTTTTGAGGCTGAGAAGAAAAATTTATGAAACCACAATAAAATACTTATAGATGGCCGGCCAAAAATCAAGAATGTGCAACGAAATTTATTTTGTAGCATTTTTTTTATTGAGAGTTTCAAACTGGGATTTTCTTATAGCTTTAAGAGTAGCAAAAAAAACTATATATAATTATGTCGTTGTTCGTTTTATAGCCGAAAATTTCAGAATTTCAAAATTTTGCACAGTAAAGTAATTTGTTGAGAAAATATGAAAAATACACTTTTAACAAAACTAAACTATACCGTAAGAAAGTATAGACAAGACATTTCACAATGTCATCATGCGAGGAGCAATCCAAGCATGCTAATATAATATTGCCAGCTTTATGTTCAATCTTTAATTCAAAGTCGGCATGAACATTCGTACTATTTGCTTAATTTAATTTCGAAGTTTTGATGTTATGTGCTCAGGTGAATATAATGTTTTTGATGTTATTCTGAGTGTATATCTGCACCGGGCAGGCTGAAAAGTTAGCCTGCCACGGTGGGAATCGAACCCGCGAACTAACTTTTCAGCACGCCCGTTGCATGTGGATATACTTAGAGTAACATCAAAAACATTAATTGCGAAGGCTCTAATGGTATATCCATTATTTTTGCACAAAGTAAGCTTAATTTAAAATTTTGCAGTTTAATGAACACAGTTAATTAACTTTTTACGCACAATTTAGAAAATTTCAAAAATTCTGTGAGAAAGCCAAAACGGCAGAGGTATAAACATATAATAATTTTATTTGTTCACCAATCGTTAAGCTGTCTGTTGTCTGCTTGTACGACAAATGCCATCAGAGTGCAGCTTTCAGATAGTTGGCCGGTCTTCCATTATTGAGTATATGCATGTACTTTAAGATGGTTGTGCAAAATATGCGGCTTCTAGTTCTTCGCCTATGTCATTGCTATTTAAATTTATGTTGATGGATATTTTGATGGATATTTTAATCTGGTCATGTTGATGGATATTTTAAAAACTTTGTGTAGTTTTATACAATTTATATTATTACTTCTTGATTCTACAACATCAAGTTGGTCAATGTACTAATTATCATGAACGTCTTGTAAATATCCAGGGTTTCATTGAGCCCCGATCGTTTTCCTAGAAAATGTTCCCGAATGTAATAGCCCTGAATCGAAAATTAGCCTATTAAATATAGAAATGCCAATTTTTGTATTTGTAGTCGCCTCATGATCATAAATTATGTTCCAAACTTGAAAAGAATTGACACGAAATTGCATGATCTTAATGGTAAAAAGGACCTATATAATAATTATATTTGAAATTAAATTAAATTTTAATGCCTCAATTTTCACGGATAAGATATTAATATCTGATGATCTATAGATCTATTTTAGACACGCATGTTGAAACGAAAACACGATTCATTGATTCAGACTTCTTCTGTTCGTCCTGAAAGAGATTATTATGACAAAGACACTTTTCAAATCTGAAAAAGCGCAGTACGTTACGTTTTGTTTCCGTTGCAAACTCATGAAGAGTTTACCAGAAGCTTAAGAGGATCATTTAATATATTGGCATCCCATGACTGTTACCTTGACAGCGCTGCTTCAGACAGAACATTTCATCCATGCAGGCTAAGGGCACTTCACCCCAAGTTGTATAAATTGGGGTAACCTTGATCGTGCAGCTAGAGCAAACAGTAGCTACAGCTAAGTGTCTGAAGGACAGAGATACAATTTGAACAAAATATCAGGTAAGGATACATGGTTAGTATGAACTAAACTTGATTTATGTGCGTGTTTGGGATATACCTTATAGCTTTATACGTGCAGTAATAACAACAATCGCATACAATAAACCAGCCAACAAAATTACATACAACTGTATAGGTAAAGTAAAAATAGAGTTTTAAGCAAATATTGATATTTAATGAAATTTGGATTCTATTATCAGCTGGCTCGAAAAGTGTGATTTCTGTACGGCCTCCAGAGTTGGATTTCTTAACCATTGTTGCATTGACAAAACATTGAATCCACAGATAGCTAAAGGTTCCCGCCAGCTCATACAGTTCACGGTTTGGATTTGTTTTTTGCGCGTGCAGCCTTAGTGTTCTTCTGTCGTGCTGTATGGCGCACGATAACTGTTGAATTTTGCGCGAATGTATTTTAGCGCCAGAAATTTACCTGAGTGCAAGCACTTTGCAAATAATTCACTTCTGTTCATAATATGCGGATAGGTGTTTCGAAATCGACCCGTTAGTAATTGTGTGTGGACGATTGTAATTCGGCCTTGTTAGCGTGTAGCGCTAGCATTATTAAATGATTATTTGTGGTTCCTGAATCCTGAAACGCTGAAAGATTATTGGTGAAGATCTTCATTTCAATGCAGTCAGAAAATAAAAGCAATTCATTCTAAATATGAGTTAATGATTCAAGATATTGGTTCACTTATAGATTAGCAGCATCACGGCATGTAGATATTGAAGGTAAATTGTATATGCAATAATATGGGTGTTGTCTGTTTGTGCCTTTGACTCTTAGCAGTGTGGCGCCGCCGCAATTTTGAGTTTCGTAAACCGCCAGGAACACCAGTAACAATCAGTGACACCACTTTCAGCGTACGTCACATCCGATCAATATGAAATGAACTTCATTATTCACCATGGGAACACGCTCTAAAACGCGCCTTCCAACGTGTCAACAGAAATTCAACGGACACAAATAACACGAAGTCACGAACTAGAGTTGGGCGATAGGTAAAAATCATATCGTGATCATCGTCTCATCGTCTAGAAATGATTACAATATTCAATAATATCGCGATGAATGCAATAAATTTCAATTTTAATTAACCTAAAACATATTTACTAAAATGCCTCCTTTCATTTTTTGGTTTTTGTTCTATATACCTTATTTCCTTAATTTAAACGGTTATGATTGTTATGCTCAAAACCAACATTAGTTGAGTTGAGCTTCACAAACCACATCTTTTGTTCTCCAGCTGGTCGCTCGGTTGATGGATAAGAATTTGATCAGTTGCTTATATCGGTAACTAAAATACTTAATTGACATTACTTACCTCAGAACCTATGTACATATAGTTTAAAGAATATCCATGTTCACTACATTAGGGGTCAGAAAACGCGGAACACCCCATACAATGCCGGCGCACCACTCCCCAGCTCGTAAACGCATATGACAAACATTAATTTACAAAGGCTCTTTTAGACCACATCATATCATTTCTGTGTCACATTTCTTCTTGTATTAAGACCGTCGTTTATTTTTTCGCCTATAGAAATTAACTAATATTCACCAAGAACTAAAATGAAAACCATCTTCCTAATTGCCTTGGTGATGTCAACCATTCTTGCAATAACTCAGGCCCTTAGTTGCCCGAAATGTGACGCTGGGGTGATCAAGTGTCCTGAGATTCATAAACTGAAATGCAAAGGTGGCCTTGTTACTGATGTATGTGGTTGTTGTGCTGTGTGCGCCAAAGTCAAGGGGGAGAATTGCGGAGGACCTTTTAACATAACAGGCAAATGTGACTGCGGTTTGAAATGCTTGAAGAGCCCAAAGGAAATGGCAACCATGGGAGAATTTAATGCTAAAGGAACATGTGTACCAAGGTAAGATGTTAATGATATATTCTATTCTTGAAGGGATTTGTAGATGGAAATTTGACCCGAATATTATATACAATTTTCCGATGCACCCATCAGCAGCTGTCCGGTGAAGTCCTCCCAAGAAGTGAGCTACAGAGTCGTGTCACATCTATTGAGCGAGATGCCTAAAATCTTGATATTTACCAAAAACTGACTGTATCAAATCCGCTCTGAATCGAAACCAGGACCTTTTGGTTGCTAGCATAGTGCTCATGGCCAGAAATGGAGGACATCAAGCGGTCGGGCGTGCGGGCTCATATTTTCTTGATAATTCAATGCACTATACAGATCAGTGGTTCAGTTTTGGCAAAATGGCTGTTTATTTTTACTAGTATAACTCAGTGAGTTTTGCCAAGAACTAAATAATCTGAGCACGGCAGATTTATAAATTGAAAATAAGAAGAGGTAAGCTAATGAATGGCTTTCAACACATAATTTTCATTGCAAACAAGTATACATAGGGCGCAAAGGCGGAATATCCGACATTGCAATACAACCAGATATATAGAAAACCAGCAAAATTATAAAATATAACAAACTTTACGCCAACCGAGTCTTGATCGATTCTCAAATTTCAAAAGTCTACCAATACTCAATAGTTATAAATGTTTTGAAGTCGGCAAATCAAAATTATTACGAAATCCCGCGAATTTTAGAATGTTTACGAGACTACAGCCTATATTGACAGCGGTTAAAACCATTGTAACGTAGCAACAGCTTTATAAAAGCAATGGCGGACAACAAATGTAACTCAACAAATTTGTGATATTTTTGTTCAAAATATGGTGCATTTCTCATCACAATTGGACAGACACCTCTCTACAAAATACATGCAATTCATCGCTTTGGGGAACATACTAGTGTATACTTTTACGCTTCATACAAATGACAATAATAAAGAGGAATACTGTACGAAGCAATTCAGATATGCACATTTGACGATATCTGTAAAGAACGAGTTGAAATTGGACCTGCAAAATACCTAATATGTCGAAATCACATACTTTCCTATGCAGAGACTAGGCAGAGATATTGATTGCTCGGGAACATACTTAGACAACTCGAGTGGTACCAATTTTTTTACGGATAAAAGTTGGACAGAATCGGTGAAGTTTTAGATATGCACATTTTGTATTTCTCAACCGTAAGTTATCAAAAATACAAATTTTGCATTATTCCCACTCAAATTATATAAGAAGACGCCATTTTGAATTTTTATTTTGAGTCAAAATGCGCATGCTTGGCAGCCATGTTGGACTCCATTTCTGGCCATGTGCATATAATAATTACTATAAAACTTATGTAATTTTGATCTAAAATTCGTAGTCTTCAAGTTGTCTAAAATCTTCAAATAGCTTTTGCCACCTGTGAACAACCATCAAATTTTTGTAATTTTTTTTTGTTTTTGCCCTAAAATTGTTGTTATTTTCGTTGTAAATTGTTGCTGTTATTCTTATTGTTGCATCTTTGTGTTATCCGCAATTTAAGGCAAAACTAATAGAAAAGAGACTGGAAATGACGTCCAGTAGCTCTCTCTTTAATTTAGTAAAAGTTTTCAGGAACTCCTGTAATGTTTTTTTTTGTTTTTGCCCTTAAATGTTGTTGTTTTCGCTGTAAGTTGTTGTTGTTGTTGTTGTTGTTGTTATTGTTGTTGTTGCAGCTTTGTGTTATCCGCACAGGCAAAACCAATAGAAAAGGGACTGGAACTGACATCCAATAGCTCTCTCTTTAATTTAGTAAAAGTTTTCAGGAACTCATAGTTGTATAACGTTCTGTGACTTGTAATAACCTACCTTTATTCTAATAAAACGCTCATTTTATATACTTGTATTTTACCTGCATTCAAATATATGCTATAGTTTGTTCATTCTGTCTTCAAAAGATCAACAGACGCCCTATACTGTAGCATATATTGCTTTATGCAATGCAATATTCGTAATTAATATTACTCTTACACCATATTTATGATAACTTTTTTTGAATCATCATTCTTCTATTTCATTTTCTGATTATCTATTGCAGAACAGTCTAGAATGCCAACATTAAAAGTTAAGCTGATGGTGATTGCATTCCTCCGTTCATATATGGTACTCTAAAGACTAAATTTTACTCATTAAATTTGAAGATAAATCACAAATTGAGTTGAATGTATAGTTTCAATACAGCGACATTGTTCTTGCATCATATTAAAACCGTTCTTTGCCATTTAATAATAATCTCCAAACTATGTAATATGCAGGTCACAAGCAGTTACTGACACTTTACTGGTATGCCATCATGCAATTGAATGTTGTAGCAAACGAAGATGTCTATTCGACATTCAATTACCACGGATTCCTTTTAGAACTTTAAACGCTTCTTTCCTCAACATTGGTCTTGTCCAGAAGAAGATAACGGAGTTAAGTATTGTATTTACTCCGAGGGCTGTGGCGTACCAAGCAATTACGACTCTATAGAATATTATGTCCTTTTCGAGATAATAAATGTTGAGGAACTCGCCTGGAATACAAAAAATATAGAATGTAACTACAACCAATGCACAAGACTTGGCAAGCTTTAATTCCTTCTCGGAATATCGTTTTCCAACACGAGATTTTGACACGTTCTCTTCGCACGGTGTGGTGCAGTTGGGTCTTAGTAGTCTTTTCCTTGCTGAATACAAAATCCGTGAGTAGCAATATGTATGTAGCAACATAGGAATAATTGCGTAGATGGCGCAAAAAATGTAGTAGAATGTTGCAGAAACCACAGCCAAGGGGACAATTATGAATGTTACCAATACGACAGAACAAATGTATAACAAAAATATCTTTTTTGTAACATAGTTGCGATGTGCAATTGGATGCAAAACACCCATGTATCTTTCAAAAGTCAACGCGCATAAAGCTGCTAAGGATAATCCCCACGGTATGAATGCTATTGTAGAAAAGACAAAACTTAACACACAGTCTGGCGAGCCAAAAACTTCTCGGAGGTGAAGGTAGCTAAACAATGGGAGACTTAGCAATCCAACAGACAAGTCAGCCATTGACTGGATAAATACGGGAAAGTGGCAAACCTTTGCTCTCATGTGTTGATTTTTCCAGATTGTAAGAACTGTAATACCGTTCAAAAGTATTACAGGAATCATTAGTATGCACATTGCCACAGATGTAAAAACTTGGTTGACGACATATTTACTTGAAGGAAATTCCACAATAACGACATGTGTGTAGCCGGCTATTGAACACTCTTTAATGTTGGATGTTGTGTTATTTATTGCCATTTCTTGCTGCTTGAATTTTGTTTGTTCTTCAATTCTGCAGTGATTCCAATCTAGAGAAAATAAATTGAATAAATAGGCGATTTACCATTATGCCTTCATATTATATCTACCATCATTTGTATATCAGATCATAGAACCAGGCCAAATAGAATCGGGGATGTGGGGGCGGTAAAATAATCCAGCCATCGTGGGGCATGGTTGTATGAACTACTAAGTTGCGGATTAGCGAAACCATCCCGGGGGAATAAAACAATTTAGCCCGAGAAATCTGTTTCTCTCAAGATATACTTTGGATGCCAATTTCCATAAAGAATTAATGTGAAATCTTGCAAAATTATCGTGTTTGAATTAACAAATTGGGAAAATATCCAGGTTTTGAAGATCTGGCGTTGGCCTACGCGTGCACCACATTCTTGAAACTTTAATAGCCTAATGCAAGACGGTCCAGACTATAACTCTGCACTACTGGTGCAGTAGCATCACAGATCAGTAGGTAACATGATTACTTAGAAAGTTAGTACTGGGTCTTACATAACACACAATGAAATTGGGGAGCAGGTGGAAACTTGGCGTCTTTCCTGATGATCACTGAAACCTAGTCGAAACGTTGATTAAAATGCTAACTATTTGCGGACCCATTCAAGCCCATGCAGGACTTTGGCGCACCCCAAACAGCAATCACAATACTGTATAGTGAACACGATAACACTGTATACCATTGAAAAAACCCTAACGACAAAGCTTATCGAAAAGTGAGCAATTGTCCAACCTTTTGGTGTACATTGTGCGCCCTGCACACATGCAAAATACTTTGGAATGTTAAAGCGGTGGTGCATATTCTATCGATTTTCAAGATGCACATGGTCGATGAGTAATTGCCCAACAAACAAGATTTCAACATAACGTGGTCAGTACCAAAAGTCCAGAACGCGCTGTATCTTATACGTGATGATGAAAAAAAATTAATTTAAAGGAAAAAAAGAAACAATTTTTACTTTTAAAATCGGAAATAGTTTCGACATGTAATCATGAAAATAAAGATTTATAGTAAATAATGATGGCAATGGAAGGAATACATGTATTGTTTGACGCCCACACGTCCAGGTTTTGCGACTGTAAACATTTAAGCAGCCAACTTTTCGAAATTTGTCAGCCACCTGATGCATGATATTCCTCTTGGATGAAACAGGCTGTTGTGGCAACTTTTTGAGGTAAAACGGCTATTTCTTCTCTACCTACTGTATATGATATCGAGCACTCTTTAGCATTTCGTGAACCAGAACACATTCATATATTTGCACCTGTATACCGGTTGTGCACTCTTGTTTTCTTAAGGTACTATTTGCCTCAATTAACATAAGGCAATTTCGATTTGACTACTAATCGAAAAAGATTCCTATACCATAACATATCCTATCGAAAGGAAGATGGCTGTGAAACTCATTAGTTAGAATAACAATATAACTCATTATCTATGTTGGTCAACGTTTATTCATAAATCTGTTCCTTCACCGTAACGTGTGTATTGTATTCTTGCCCAAATAACCAATAGCAATGTTTTAAGAAAGTGGCCTATCCGTAACTAGAACAATAGGGAAACTGGAGATTGCTTTATATTCGTGGATTTGATAAAAATACGATACACACGTGACGGTGAAACGACCAGTTTTATTAATAAACGTTGACTAACATAGTTAATGAGTTATATTGTTATTCTAATGAGTTTCACTGCCATCTTCCCATCGACAGGTTATGCATGGCCACATCAGGATGCTTATTTGAGAAATTTGATTGGAAAATGGAAAGCGTAATAAAACGCATGAGGTGGAAAGCTAACTTTTTTCCAAAAAGGAATAAAAATTTAAAGTAATAAAAACAACTCCCGCTATTTTGGAAATGAAACCTTTCGAGGACTACCTTTTGAGCCTTACAGAAACATAAAATTTCGAAACGCATGCCAGACACGAAATTGAATTTCAGGAAACGATTTAAAGAAAATTAACTTGTCTTCCAACGTTTTCTTTTCTGAGATAAAACTACAGAAACATTTATGAAACACCGCTGGACAGATATAACAAAACTGGAAATTATCCTCCATATATATATATATATATATATATATATATATATATATATATATATATATATATATATATATATATATATGGAGGATAACTTCATCACTTCGGGTAATATTACGCCGAATCCCCCTCGCCCCGGGTCGATAAATGATAAATATTCTATACCATCCGGTGACTGCGAGAAAGAGTATTTGGAACAGTCTAAACGCCAGTTTGGTACACGGCTAAAAGAACATCAGATAGCTGTTACACTGACTTTACACAAGGGAAAATCAGCTGTGGCCGCGAACATGTATGTTACACCAAACACGAGATTGCGTGGGTAAACTCTAAACGGTAATTACCACCAACAATCGCTATGGTCAAAGACTTTCCTAGAAGCGTGGCATATAAATATGAGATAATCATGCTTGGAATAGGGATGACGGTGCGTATTTGCCAGAGGAATATATGCATCTCATTGGCAGGTGCCGTCATCCCTTGGGTATTAGGGACCTTACGATTTAGGACGGCAATGCGATGGCGACGGCTACCAACACAATAATTAGTAATTGAAAAGAATTGAATAATTACAATAAATGAATAATTTAGAAATTATCGGCCTTCGCTCTGTTTACAACGCCAAATCACAGATGTTCATGATCACGTCTTGATACAACGGCAGCATTTCAAGCCGCCCAACAAGTGCCTTTCCAACCATAAAACCCATGTCTTCAACTCCTAAGACTGTGTTAAATTCGCACGATTGATAATATACGACGAATTATCTTTACTAGGCCTACCATTTATTTGAAGGAGTTAGTTTGGCCGCGTCGCCGTCGCGTTGCCGTCCTAAAATCGTACAAGGTCTCTATTTAAGAAGCCACGATTGCAATTTTAGATCACCCCTCATGGGTCTTGATTACAAGTCGACTGGGCTTTCTATAATAATAATTTATTTAACCAAGAGTAGCGAGCGAAACATGATATTCGTGTATATTGATATCCTATGATTATACCGGGTGGCCTGGTATAATCACATATGCCACATATTAATTAATATACACGAGTATCTCTTTGACTCAATATTCAATATTTAAGTTAGACATTAGTGAATATACAATGCATCTTGTTTAAGTGTAAAAGCTCTTTAATTTAATTTTTATATAAGTTGTACTGAATCAAAGAGGAGTACTTTTTTGGGGGCCACCCCGCAATAAATATATTTATTATTTTTGTACAAGTGAACATTACAAATTCTTAGGATTTGATCCTACAAGGTGATTGGTCAAATTTGACGTATTGATCTGTTATATTAACCTACAGGTGAATATAACAAAATCAAAATTTTCAAAATGGCAGCTAGCCGTTTTGTTGAAGTTAGTAATAAAGAAATAAGCGAAATTAAAATGAATTCAGACCAGAAAAACACAAAAAGCTTGTGCAAAAATACTAAAACACTTATTCGCCTCAGGCTAGGTGATTATCGGGGAATATTCCCCTCGACTTCGTCTCGGTGAATATTCCCGGATAATAACCTCGCCTTCGGCGAATTATTGTTAAATAATCTTTCCGCTCGAAATTTCCATCTATACAAACACCCACTGGTGACTCTTAATTACACAGGTTCTTTTATGCGGGTTTAATATCCGTTTTGGTTATTGCAATTTCGACTATACAAGATATATTACTTGTTTACATTATGAAATATATATAGACAGGAAAACATACATGACAAAGTGCGTATGTATTTTCACGTTTCCGTGGCATTTATTTATGATTGACAGTGAGAAAAAATGTGAAATCCATCTATGAGATTTGCAATTGTACCATTAATTTAAATGTCTAAATCCATAGTCTAGATCCATGTTTCGATACTATATCCATACTATGAAAATATACAATTATTAAGGATAATCAAAAATCCATTGTATTTCGAATGAAGGTCCATTCAATTTCCATTCTATGGATTTTCAAAATTTTTTTTCAGTGTGATAACAAGCACTGGCCATTAAAACTCTCTAATTAATATTGTTTAAATGCAATTTGAAGGACAACTGTACAAGCATCAATCACTAGTGTACAATTCAATTCCGGCCTTCGTAAAGTATTAACAATATCATCATGATATGAGAATGATCCTTATTGATTTCAATCTCGGTAGGCTACCTTTTTGCACAATAAGTTCCTTTTGCCACAACAAGTTTCACAAATCAATGATCTTAAAATTTTCGCGAGATCAATCCGTGCTCGTGTTCAAAACACAACATTGTCTATTTTACTTACATTGCGTCGAACTCGGACGACAACTTCTTATAACCGGTTGCAAGCTGTTTGCGTTACACCAAGAGTAGCTACTAATATACGTGGCTTCGCTAAATAGCAATGAATAGATCCTCCAGGGTTCGTGATCTCGAAATCTAAAAATAAAATTATAGATTATTCTCCCTATTTTCAAAGACTTTTCAAAACGTTTGAGAGGAATAATCAGCCGTTGAAAAATTGCAATTGTGTTGTAACAAGTGAATCGGCGCGATGACGACGGCCAATTTATAATCTCGATGAATTATAATGACAATTATAATCTCGAACGACAACTGTCATTATAAAATGCGCCTTCTTTTCGGAGTTTGTGAAAATTGTACTGCGATCGAGGTAATTTATTAGCTGAAGTATATATATGATAAACATAATCAGACAAATGTAAATCGTAGAACTGAAAGGATCTTTGTTTCCTGTTTGAGATAATCTCCTGTTCAATATTTGATCACTAAAAAATCGTGTCAATCTTCTAAAGTATCTCATAGTCTGTCAAGATATGATGGTCTGGAAGACCATCCCTAAACCAAATAAACTCTTATATAGTGATAACTCTTATATAGCAAAGTTCACTACCGGGAGCAAATAAACTCTTAGTGATATGCATTTTGTATATCCGAACGGAAAATATGTTAAGAATGTATTTACTTTCGCCATTGCTGTCCAAACTCCAAAACAATCACTTGCTGGGCAATACTGTATATACGTGTCGAGAATGCAGAACGATAACCTAACGACAACAGTTTATTTAGTAACACATTGAAATTTACAATACTGTGAGAAAAGAAAATTATTAACAATCAAAGCGGCATGCAGTTTTAAAACAATGACTTCATCCTTTCTACAACACTGAGCCATGCACGGATTAAATTTTAAAGTTTGCTGTAGCCTTCCTCATAACATAAATATGACTCTTCTCAATCCTAATGCCTTGACCTGATTTCCTTAAACTGGTCCTAATTCCATACAACCAGATTAATTTATAATAATTTGATTTAAAGGAAATTCTTTTGGCTGTCCCCATCGCGTTGTTGCCCGCATACCTAGTCATTTACCAACACTAGGCTATATAATAAACGACAATATAACTGCCTTATACATGGTATAATAAACCACAATATTTTGAAAAGAAAAAGAACATACCCGCAGCCGAATGTAAAAAGATGATTATAGTCTTGTCAACAAAGAATATTGATTAGCTGACTATACTATACACTATAGCTTTCCGTTTCGATGTCTGTAATAAAGCCATGGAATGAAGTTCAGAGCAGACACGAAGCATGAACTACCACCTTCCGGAAAGTACTTAGACGTGACCATAGACCCTCCTAACTCGTTTCCGTTATGCGTTATTGGTTTCAGAGCACGCAATTCCTGTTATTGAAGACATAACCATGACAAACAAAAAAAGAACGTACCTGCAGTCAAATGTAAAACGAAATGATTATAGTCTTGTCAAATAAAATGTATTTATTAGCTTCCCTTTCAATGTTTTGTAATGGAAATCAGGACTGCGGTTTCAGAATTCAGGGCAGGCACTTTAATTAAATTAAAGCTGATTTCCAGTGGAGTTCTTCGTACGTGCGTATACGCAATAACTGGATGAATAAAAAGAAAACATATCGTTTTGTGAATGATTTAATGTGCGTTTGTACAGGTATATTTCATACAAGTGTTCAATTTAAAAAGATTTAAACTTTTCCGCTTGTTTAAAGGCGTAACTGCATGGATCACAGTCTTAATTTATAGCAACAAATAGCGTGCTCATATTTCTAGTTCCGCTTTCTCCATCGCACTAGGGAACCCACAGAACATTTAAAAGGTAATAAATATGATCCTGTCAATCAGAACACATGCAGCTCAGCAAATAATCATGTTATGATTAATCACAACATTGCCTAGAATAACTCCATCTTGAGGTTTAAAAAATGATAGCATATATATATATATATATATAAAATATCTTTAACAATATCAAATATTTTAATTAACGACATAAAATCTTTGTATAAGAACACGAAGATTTTATATCGTACCATTTTTTTATCTTAAACCTGAGAAACATTGTAATTAATGAAATGATTATTTTCTGAGCATGTGGTCTGATTCACTAAGTGTAACGCACTATTTGCGGCTTGGAGACAGTTGTACTCTAAAGTATGACCTTATCCACTAAAAATCAATACCGAAAAATACTTTTGATGTCTTTTTAAGAGCAATCAGCCGTTCAGAAATTGGGATTGTATATACTATACGATCTATATCTATCGATCTATTTCATAGGCTGGGAAATATAATACAAATCAAATATTTATTAAAAAAGCATACCTTTTAAAGAATTCCGTCTCTCTTTCATACAATTCAAAGAATTTTCTAAACTTAATGACCTATATTGAATATTTTCAAGTTTTTCAAAGACCACAAAGAAACCTCACTGTCTGAAGTATAAAAGAAAGACAACTCTGATTAACAGACTCTACTTGCATGGTGATGCATTATTATTTTGTCCCAACACAATAACCGGGAAACAACTTATTGCTGCAGCAGTATTTACTCCGCTACGGGGTGTCCAAAGCTTAAGACACTATTCATACTACCTTTAGGAATCCCTATACATGCATGATGGACAATATTCTCACTTTCCATTGCGACACCGAAAACATCAATCCGTACCAATTGCAACAGAAAGATGTTGTTTCGCTCTGCTTCTGAATGTTGTACATTCCGTACCGGGTAGGTGCTTTTTCGTGTCGCTGCGAAAAGCTATCCTGTACTGTACTGTAGTATATCGTGCAAACCTAGCCTCAAGATACTGTACAACGTGGAGTTGGACTGCCCTAGTCAACTGAGAAGGACGTTGCATGCACATTACAACAGAGCCTGAGGGATAAGATGCCGCTTAATCTTCCGAAGATGAACAGTTCAATATAGGTCAATCAACATTCAAGTATTCTGGCGAAGTGTTTTCACACAATTTCGAGTTTCCCAATTTCCACGAGTGTTGATATAACTATATATCAATACGGAAAAAGTTTTATATTTGTTTTATAATATATATAGCACAAGGAACATAAAGAAAGAAATTTTCCGACGTTTCCGTGTTGACATTGGGTTATATCAACACGGCTCTTAGCCATGCAATCAACGTTCAGAATTTACAATGTCAAATGCTATATTATAATACAATACATTATATGAAAAAATTCACTATTCTTTAAAAAGCAAGTAACAACATACTTGTACATACGAGACTGGTATTTGGCTCCGACAAAAGGCATCTGTTGTCTTGACATGTTAAATGTGTAAGGTCTATAATAGTAGCTTATAATACTGTTCTTCTAGATCTTTGATATCTGCATATATGTGGTTTTAGTGCAGCAAGCACTTGGCAAAAAATTGTGTACGTCCTGCCCTTCCTTGTTCCGCCTTCTCGATCACACTAACAAACTCGCAGAAGATATTAATATGTTATTAATATGACGACAGTATGCTGACCATACACCTTCATTTTAATATACACCACTACTGGACAGCTTGTGCCAGTCTCGCCCGCCGATAGACGAATCAGAGTTTCGACGCGTTAACAAATATCAGTTAAGCTATACCATGTGGCTGAGATTGGCATGGAAGAAGTAGAAAATGCATTTTTTAACGGATCGATGTTTATTCAGCTAGCACATTTGATTGCAATCTGGGGCTCTCAAAGGCGTCAAATTTCAAAATTCCTAGGGGTGAAGAGCTGAAGGGAGCACGCCCCTTCACCACCTAACAGGCTCGCGTCTTCGCCATGTGCATCACCTACCCAACAATGTGTTGACGACTTCAGACATCGCCCTCCCCCCCCCCCCCGCCTCACTTATGTTTCGCTGTCTAGAAGCTATACACCATTGCCAAAAATGTGTTGGGAAATATTTTGTTCGCTATACATTAGTCGAGGACCTGTATATGAGTTTGTATGCATTTAATTTAGGACAGATAATCTCAACTGTTTTAGGGCAAGTTGACCATGACGGTAACGGTGACGGTAACGCTGCCCGAACCCCAAATCCGGGACGAAACGTCCGAAACTGACCACACCCAAAAACGACGCTTTCGTCATACTGCTATCTACCAAACCATAAAAGCTTTGGCTATTCTGAGGTGCTTATGTGGTTCAGAGATGGTACTTTTGGGGGTGATCATTGGTAAGTGTGAAATGCCTAGCACTAATATTTCAGAAGAAAATGACCATGCAATAATCATAGTTAAACGTCAATTTGTGGCTTGCAACTCCAGATAAACAGCAGTGGACTTACATAACCTTTTTCCCTAAATCTTTTTGATAGAAACATAATTGGTATTTATTTAAATATATTATCACTGGTTTGGTGTAAAATAGTTAAAATTTTCTGACCGACATAATAATTTGAAATGTGCCTACCTCCTACAAAGGGACGTATTTGGCGAAGTTCTCCACTTTACTCTGCTGTTTATCGGCGATCTCGTCGACATCCTACAAAAAATGTAAATCATCTCAGACATAATGGTATCAAGAACATTTTCAACAAGTTTCAACTTGGTTTCAAGTAGATCAAGGTAAATCCACAACTTTATCCAAATTCGGCGCCATTTTGTCATCCCATGTCGGTTGTCAACAATTCGGCCTTGTTACTCTTCCATCCAAGCCATTTCCATTCTACTAATAATAAATTTAACCCTTTATAACGGTAGGAAACTAAAAAATCTAAACAAAATATAAGAAATGCGCCATTTTATCACCCTGTAAATTTTGCTCACGAGTCTTTCAAAACATTCCGTACAAATATCGCGTGACAAAGAAACAGGGACGTCACAGGAGGGGGTGAACTATTTCACGAACGTAGAAGAACGCTGCGTGAAATAGACCAAAAGCTAAATACAATCATACAAACGTTTGTTTTATTTCCTGTAGCGACAAATATATACATATTATTATTTATTAATATGAAAAAGTCATACAAATTAAATTATGATTGTTGGATACTGTGTGGGCTTTCCTTTCATTTTTAAGTCTCTACCTCCCCCCTGCCAAGTCCCTGTTGCTAAACCACGCGAGATTTGTACGAAATGTTTCGAAGGACTCGTAAGCAACACTTTACAGGGTGATAAAGTGGCGCATTTCTTATATTTTGTTTAGATTTTTTAGTTTCTTACCGTTATAAAGAGTTAAATCTATTATT